TCTGTGTGAGATTATTGGCTTTTTTACTGGACGTTTAGATAATCTCAGACCTGAGACTTCTAACAGTTGAGCTCTGGGGAATTACTCACATGCTCTGACTCTGACATTTTTCTCCATCCATCCAGCCAACCACACACACAACCACATGTTCAGCTCCATCCAGTCAGCTCGTCACAGTCTCCTCAACCCAAGTGTAAAATGGCTCCTTTGTCCTTAAGTCCATCCTGAGACATCATTATTACACTCATCATTTCGACCACGTTCTTTTAGCTTCTGGGTATAAAGTTTCCACTGTAGTCATCAAAGCTTCGCTGCTGCTGCTGCTCGGCAGGTTTGCGTGGATAACTTTTATGTTTCCTCTGGTGAACATAGAAGACCCAGACTCAAAGTGAGCAGTGTGTGGTCTGTGAAAAAATCCTGCTGTGTTTGTTTATCGACACCAAAGTCCAGGGACATAGAAACATAGATACTGTTTCAACGGTAAACTGCAAAGTCATGTAAAAGACAATTTTATGTGTACTAAAACATTATTTTAGGAGAGTCGCCCTGTCCAGATAAGTTACAGAGCCCTGTAACCATTAAAGTAACCTAAACTAGAACGGAGACCAAGATGTAGGATCAAACCCAACTTATTTGTAGAGGGAAAGAAATTTAAAAAGAAAGTCAACTTAAGGCACCAAACAGTGATACAACATCAAGATTCAAGGCAAGGCAAAAAGACACTGACAGAAAGAACTGATACTATGTCAAGTTCAAGACAGAGGGAGAATCTAGAACAAGGCTTATAGACACAGATGGAGTACTCATGGAGTACTCTGCGATGAGTCTACACCAGGGATACTCAAATACAATCCTTGAAAGTACACAAAGACATTTTTTAATAAAGTTAGTTTGTCAAAGTGCAAACCAAAATACTGTCATATTCAAAACAGAATGTCTTCACAATGGCAAAATGTACTAAAATAACAGACTGTAAAATGCCAATTAAATGTTGACATCATTTCCACTAGAGACTAATAACTGTGGAGGTGGGCAGAGTTATCATTCATTCATTCATTCATTTTCATCCGCTTATCCATTACCAGGTCGCGGGGGCAGCAGTCTCCACCCAAATCACACTGCACTGTACCAACCCCCCCTAAACCTTCCTGCAGGTGGTGAGTCCACTGGAAGGTACCAACCGCCCTAACCGGGATTCGAACTTGCCCAGGAGGTGAACCCTGGTGTTTCACACCAATGACAGAGACATTGCCTCTGGGCCAAAGCACCACTTGGGAGGAGTTAAAGGAACATTATCTCGTAAAATATATAATAATATAATATAATAAAATATAATTTTAAAATCCCCTTTTCTCTTCTTATTCCCTAATTTTTCATTTTTCAATCATTCATGCTGATTGTTCTATAACGTCTTGGTAAGAAGGTGTTAATAGTGAGTACAAAACATTTAAATCTTATACATTCAGATATGTGAAAACCGTTTTCTGAAGT